ATGGTTCACACAATGTGTTTGGTAAAGGAAGATGAGAGACCGTTGGGCTATGGGTCCCGTTTTTCTGAACCCCGTTTTTGTTTGGTAAAGAGAAAGTGTCATGGTTTCGCTTACAATGGGAAAGCTAAATATAGTTGTGGCAATAAAAGTACTCAAATCTTGTGGTTATATGCTTGACCTTCTGCCTCTGTATTCTATTGAAGCATGGGAAGATAAGCCTTAAAAGAGTGACTGTCATATCCTCATACCAATTTAACAATCATAATACTTTTTTAATGTTCTTTTCTGTACTTTTGGCTCTATAGTCTATTATTAAAAATCCCCCCAAATTCAAGTACTTGAAGTACAATTTTGGAGTTTACAGCATTCAATCTTTCCATCTAAAGATTCTTGACGAGGAACAATGAAGTAGAGTATTTTTGTGAGATCCCACATCGGTTGGAGAGGGGAATGAAGCATTCCTTAAAAGGGTGTGAAAACCTCTCCCTAGTAGATGCGTTTTAAAACTTTGAGGGGAAGCCCTTGAAGGGAAATCACAAAGAGGATAATGTCTACTAGTGGTGGGTTTGGGCTATTACAAATGGTATCAGAGCCAGACATCGGGCGGTGTGCCAGCGAGGATGTTGGGCCCTCAAGGGGGGTGAATTGTGAGATCTAACATCGATTGAGGGGGGTGAGAAACGTAGTATTTCTTATAAGGGTGTGGAAACCTCTCCCTAGTAGACGTGTTTTAAAATCTTGAGATAACCCTTTTACTTTTAAAACTCTATTGCTGCAACAGAACCAGTAATTTGCTTGGCTTGCATTTTCTCTCTGTTTTCTCTTCTTCCTTTTTTTGTTTTTTTTTTTTTTGGTGGGGGTTGATTTGGCCTTATCTGGGACACTTATGCTTCTTTGTCTGGTAATAGATACCAAACTTGTGAAGGAAAGGCTATTAGGTGGTACTAATAATCAAATCGGCAGACTGACTAGGGCCCATGTGTGTTATTATTGAAAGAAAAGTTCAATCATTGAAGACTTCAATTTCATATTTGTAGACTCACCCTCAAATTCCTTTACCTACCTTTGACTCCTTCCCAGTATATCCAATTGACATTATTTACTCTTTCTGACTCTTCTATAGATGATTATTTTCGAACGTTTCAGGCTGCTTCCAATCCTTTTAGTCCTTTGTTAGCTGCCGAAAACTATTATTAGGACATTACGTGTGTGTTAGTCACTAGGTAAGGAGTTGGTTACAAAGAAAGTGAATCAGCAAGGACATATGCAATCAATGGTTTACTTAGTAAGGCTTGAGTTCTACTCAGAAGTGAGAGGTCTAAGTTCCTCAAACTACTTGGGGTGTTTTTTTTAATATCTTTCTCTCTGTATGGTGTTTTCTTTTCAACTTTAATCATTTCCAATAGAAGTTGGCTTCTCATAAAAGAAAATAATGGTAGTTCTACATTTCAAGAAAGAAGTATCTTGGGGTAAATTCCTGCTTCAACCATCTAACGTTTATATGCATATAATATAACAGCAGAGGATGTACAAGCAGGAACACGGAAGGCCAGATTTCAAACAGAACCAACCATGCCTATTCATCTCAAGGTAAATAAAGTGTAATTTCACCATTGAAATCAAGTGATTCTCCCCAATACATGGCCACCTAATCTTTGATGACCAAAAACAAAAAAGAAAAAAAACGAGTGTTCAAAGTTGTATGTTCTGTTTTTCTGATGTCAAATGAATTATGGCTATCTATTTGGACAGGCAAAAACAGGGAGATTGATGTAGAGATTAAAGCACAATCCCCATAGAACATGGCTAAGCTAGCATGCAAATTATAGCATGGTCAGGTTCAGTCTTGTACAAAGTTTCATTTTATATCACCATTCATGTACAAGACTCATCCCATCTTTCAACCCAACTGGGAGAACAAAATAAGAACCAGAAAGATAAAATAAAAAACTTGAAAGGATAATTGTCCTCCTGGAATCTTAGACAAGCCTGATAGTTAGAAAACATTGAGTTCATGCACGTCAAAAATCAGGTTGTTTAAGGCTCAAAGAAGCTAATCAACGCAAATCACTTTGTAGAGGGAAAGAAGTATACTTTTGGGAAACATAGCCATCTCTAACCTGAGTTGAATATTTGCCCAAAATATGGTGAATAATGATTGTCTGCAACTTTACTGAACTCAGTTCATCCTGTTGTCTGGATGAAAATTTTTGCAGTTCACAGATGTTACTTATAAAGTAATTATAAAAGGATTGCGGACAAATGTGGAGAAAGAGATCCTGAACGGGATTACCGGTTTGGTACACCCAGGCGAAGTTCTGGCCTTAATGGGACCTTCTGGAAGTGGCAAGACAACATTACTCAATCTGCTCGGAGGGCGGCTCATACGATCTACAGTTGGTGGTTCAATTACCTACAATGATCAACCATACAATAAGTTCCTGAAAAGCAGGCAAGAATTCTAGACGAAGTCCACAGTTTACTCTTCAGATTCCAATACTAATGTGGAAAGATTATTAAGAAACATATTATGATCATGACAAAATAAAATGCCATTACAGGATAGGATTCGTGATGCAGGAGGATGTTCTATTTCCCCACTTGACAGTGAAAGAAACATTGAGATATGCAGCTTTGCTACGACTGCCAAGAACATTAACGAAAGAGCAAAAGGAAAAGCGTGCTATGGACATTATCTATGAGCTGGGCCTTGAAAAGTAAAGCTATGCAGCTCTTTCTAACTGAAAAGCATTGAATCATAACATGTTATATTCTTCTGGAATAGACACTCACCAATATAGATCCTACTGCAGGTGCCAGGATACAATGATTGGTGGCTCCTTCGTCCGTGGGGTTTCGGGTGGAGAAAGGCGTCGGGTCTGTATAGGCAATGAGATCTTAATCAACCCCTCTCTCCTCTTCCTTGATGAACCAACCTCAGGCTTGGATTCTACAACTGCATTGAGAATTGTTCAGATATTACATGAGATAGCTGAAGTATATGCACATATATATATACTTTTTTCCTTGGCTGATTAGCTCCAACATAGAATGATTAATCTGTTCTTCCATGGCAGGCTGGGAAGACCGTGGTGACAACGATTCACCAACCATCAAGCAGACTATTCCACAACTTCGACAAGCTAATTCTTCTTGGGAAGGGAAACTTAATCTATTATGGAAAAGCAGCAGAAGCAATGAACTATTTCTCATCTATAGGATGTTCCCCACTTATTGCAATGAATCCTGCTGAGTTCTTGCTTGACCTTGCAAATGGCAACCTCAATGATGTGTCTGTTCCATCAGAGCTAGAGGATAAGGTGCAAGTAGAGAATTCTGAGCCTGACAGTAGGCTTGATAGGCCTTCTCCAGCTCTTGTGCAGGAGGTATGTTTCGGGAAATCAAGCCACATTCTTCACTTCTTTGGCTTTGATTTCAATATGATTATAATCCACTTTGAAATAACCTGATCGTAGTAGAATTTCCACAGCATAATAGAAGATCGTCTGAATTTCATAAAATACGAGTCAAGGCATCCAGTTTTCAATTAGATTGTAATACTTGCAATAATGCGCACTGAAAATGAACGACGATGATTTGATTGGAATGCAATAATTTGAAGCAGTATCTTGTGGAGGCTTACGAGACGAGAGTTGCAGAGAAGGAAAAGAGGAAGATGCTCGCACCTCTAATGCTCGACGAAGAGCTGAAATCGAAGGTGAAGTCTTCGAAAAGGCAATGGGGAGCGAGCTGGTGGGAACAATATTCGATACTGTTCCATAGAGGAATTAAAGAAAGACGCCATGAATACTTCAGCTGGCTGAGAATCACTCAAGTTCTCGCCACCGCCGTTATCTTAGGGTTACTGTGGTGGCGATCGGAAAGTGGCACTCCAAAAGGCTTGCATGACCAGGTAGTTCAACTCCTCCATTGTTGTAGAAACTTTGAAGCTTGAAATCTTAACGATTTACAGAAGCTTCGATTTATTCCGCTCAAGAATTTCACGACATTCAGGCCGTTGCTTGTCTAAATGCTTTCATTTGCATTGTTATAGGCTGGATTGCTGTTCTTCATAGCAGTGTTTTGGGGATTCTTCCCTGTGTTTACAGCAATATTCACATTCCCTCAAGAAAGAGCAATGCTAAACAAAGAAAGAGCGGCTGATATGTACAGATTCAGCGCTTACTTTTTGGCAAGAACCACAAGTGATCTTCCACTTGATCTTTTGTTGCCTATTCTTTTCCTTCTTGTTGTCTACTTCATGGCAGGCCTAAGGCTTAGCGCTGCTCCTTTCTTCCTCACCATGGTCACTGTCTTCCTCTGCATTGTGGCTGCTCAGGTATGCCTTCTTCTTCTTCTTCTTCTTCTTCTTCTTCTTCTTAGGATTGAGCTCATTGGGTTTGCTTGGAGGAGTGATTTGAATGAGTTGTTTCATCATATAGGGCCTTGGCTTGGCTATTGGAGCTACGCTCATGGATGTCAAGAAGGCCACGACTTTAGCCTCGGTCACCGTCATGACCTTCATGCTTGCCGGTGGATTCTTTGTACAAGTACCGTGCTTCTCTTTCATAATATCATTTTGATTTTTGTATTTGAGATTCATTCTACTTTCATCCTTGAATTTTAGTGAAGTTTTAGTTCATATTATCGATGTTAAGCCTAGGTCGACCATAGGAAGTGGAGATGGAAACTGGAAATATAAGTTATTTACCAGTACAGAAACTAAACTTTCACAAGCACGTAAACATTCACTGCATTTGATTCTATTTTGATCTCTATAGCTTTGAGAGTTTAGTTGTTGTCCGGCTTGTCAAAGTAGATCAGGTCTAAAATTTGACTGGCTATTAAGGTAGATCAGGTCTAAACTTGAGAGCTCAGTTGCCGACTGTCAAGGTTAGATCATGTCTAAAATTGAGAGCTCAGTTGTTGTCTGGCTATCAAGGTAGATCAGGTCTAAAAACGTAATTACATAAAGCATATGAACCAAAGTTTAACAAGCATGTAACAAGATGGAATGAGTGATATACTACGAGGCTCGAATTTTAACCTTGAAAACGTTAAGATGTATGGTAAAGTATTCACATATCATATCATTTTTTGCAGAAAGTTCCGGTGTTCGTGTCTTGGATCCGTTTCGTGTCTTTCAACTATCACACATACAAGCTTCTCCTAAAGGTACAGTACAACAACATCCTACCTACCGTAAAGGGTATGAAAATGGACAACGGAGTAGTCGAAGTTACTGCTCTGATCACCATGGCTTTCGGGTATCGTCTCTTAGCTTACATTTCGTTGAGGAGGATGAAACTATCAGGAGTTTAACAGAAACAGAATGCAAAAGATTTTCTGAGGAAGATTTACTACAAGCAATCAGAGCATTGGTTTGCTTGAGCTTGAATCTGAGTTGCAGGGTCTAACAAATAGTAAAAATCTCTATTATGGAAACTCCCTTGGTAATGTACTTACCTTTTGGAGACGGTGATAGCATCGAAGGCTGAACGGGACGTGTTATCGTCGGTACGGCTTGCTCCTGGAGGTGCATCATCTAGCTAGAACATTTAAACAGCTAAATATAGTAGCCTTTAACAGTAGAGGTTTAGTTCCAAATCCATGAACATAAAATGTTGGCGGCACCTTTCTGTTCTTCCTTTTCTACAAGAGAAACATTCAATTCAGAGGTGCTTTTTTGGTACAAACTCGGTTATTTATTCATGAACAGATTGGTTACCGTTACATGAATCATAAATGTATGAATACGACGCTCGCTTCTACTGCTCTATTTATAAGGAACTATAGCAGCTACTTACACAGCAGACCGTGTAAAACATTTACAGCGCCATGAACTCAAGCCAAGGTCCTTAACCAACCAAGTAGCCGAAGAAGAGCAGCATCCAAAATGGGGGACTTCTTTTCAAGCCCTGTCAAAGTAGAAAGCGTTAGGAGGCAGTATAATTCTTGCCAAGCTACGACAAAACTAGATACCATCGAATACCATCGAACGATAGTCGGAACTCAAAGTTATGAGTTGTATAGTTCGTGAAACAAGTAATTCATTTCAGAAATGATGATCACCAAACTAGTTCTGCAAGGTCTCAAAGTTGGGCGAACCTAACTTGCTTGAGCTAAATTCGTTTCGGAAGACTACTCGAGATGGTAAATGATCACCAAATATCTGAAAAAATTGAAAGCTCACCGATATCAGCAGCTACTCGATGCGCACACATCACTCCGGAAAAGGCTACAGCTATTACTCCTTGTCCGGGAAAGCAGCTATCACCGACACAATACAGCCCATCTATACCCTGCAGGTCATCAGTAATGGCCTTTCAGTTGGATGTAAATTAAGCACATAGATAGGAGGTTAGCATTCAATCATAAACTCACAGTTGTATTAAATGGCATTCCAAGTAATCCCTTAGGGGTTCCCCGTGGCATCGGTCCATAGGTACCATTATTACGAGCTAGGAATCGTTTGTGTGTCTTCGGTGTCCCAATCTGTCATCATTTCAGAAATTTTCAGCCAACATAGCCAGGCACCCGAAAGCCATGGCAATTAGAGCAGTAACATGTACTACTATGGATCATTTTAACAAGTTCAATCTTTGTTGAAGCTTACTTCATTTTATTATTTTGATTCGAGTTTCTACGAAACGCACCGGTATTCTGTAAGGAGAGGCGCGGTTTTTAAGTGGTCAAAGTTTCTCAAGCATAGACACTTATAAAAATTAGCAGGATTGTGTAGTAGAGCATTAGAACTAAACATATACCTCCATAAAATCAATAGATGATTTTAAGCCTGGAAATAGTTTCTTCTCAAGTCTAGAAATGATTTCATTTGCAATTTGCTCCTTCTTCTCTTCGTATTCTTTTCTGGAGAGCCCCTGGTTTAGGATGAAACAACTGATCAAATGGAGGGTGAAAAAAAGGCAGATGGAGATTAAATCAAAGTCTAATATAAAAAAACATAACGTGAGATCCCATATCAGTTGGAGAGGGGAATGAAGTATTCCTTATAAGGATGTGAAAACCTTTCCCCAGTAGATGTGTTTTAAAACTATGAGGCCAACGGCAATACGTAACGAGCCAAAGTGAACAATATCTACTAGCGGTGGATTTGGGCTGTTACAAATGATATCAATGTTAGACACCGATCGGTGCAAGACTGTAGTCGGAGTAGGGATAGACCCTCTCCATAGTATACGCATTTTAAAAACCGTGAGACTGACGGCGATACGTAATGGACCAAAGCAGACAATATCTGCTAACGGTGAGTTTGAGCTTGGGCTGTTACACAAAATCTTTGTTGTTTCTTGAACTAGTTTAGGGTGGAAAAAGTCATAACAGATACAAAGAGGGGGACGTCCGAAGCCTAATTTTTTTAAAAAAATTAAAACTATCATTAACAGTTTATATACTCACCTCCCAATCCTCTATGGAAGAAGTGGTAAAAATGTGAAGGATATGACGTCCCTCCGGAGCCAACGATGCATCGAGAACAGTCGGGATGCTCAGAAAGATGCTTCCATATGGCTCCTCTAACCTTCTCCAATCACTCTAATTACAATAACAATAAGAAGGTTTCATAGCAATTCCATAAAAAGTAAATGAAACTGTTGAAAGTTACAGCTAGTAAAAGCATCAGCTACCTCAAGAACAAAGTGGTGACAATCTGTGTCAGGCGGTAGAACCTCAGCTTTCACCCCCATATGAATTGAAAGAAAAGATGGGGCCTTAACATAAAGTTTCTGAAAGTTTTCCTCTTCCTTGGGAAGGTCCACTCCTTTTAACAGCTTTCCTTAAACAAAACAAAGTTCATACATAATCAGTAATTAATAAAATGCTGGTAAGGGGATAAGAGGGAGATGAAACATTCAACGTTGCAATATGATAAATTCTGCTAAAGAATTTGAGAAGAACTAACCAAAGGTATCCCATCTGGTAGCATTTGATACTATAGTTTTAGCAAAGAACTCCCTTCCATCAGACAGCTTCACACCTACCTACAATATAAACCAAGTAATTAAGTTGAACATAACTTGTGAGATCCCACATCGATTGGAGAGGGGAACGAACCATTCTTTATAAGGGTGTGGAAACCTCTCCCTAGCAAACGCGTTTTAAAACCTTAAGGGAAAGCCCAAAGAGGACAATATCTACTAGCGGTGGGCTTGGGCTGTTACAAATGGTATCAGAGCCAGACACCGGGTGATGTGTCAGCGAGGAGGCTAAGCCCCTAAAGGGGGTGAACACGAGGCAGTGTGCCAGCAAGGACGCTGGGCCCCATATGGGGGTGGATTGAGGGGTCCCATATCGAATGGAGAAGGGAACGAGTGTCAACGAGGACGCTGGGCCTTGAAGGGGGGTAAATTGTGAGATCCAACATCAGTTGGAGAGGGGGAACAAAGCATTCTTTAAAGGGCGTGGAAACCTCTCCCTAACAGACGCGTTTTAAAACCTTGAGGGAAAGCTCTGAAGAGAAAGCTCAAAGAGGACAATATCTGCTAACGGTGGGCTTCGGCTGTTACGTAACTCAACTAGCTAAATTATAGATTTCAATCTTCATCCCTTGTTTGTATCATAATATTCTAAAAATAAATACTCACAGCTTTTCCATTTTCGGTTATTATCTTCGTTACGTTAGCTTTATACATTATTGAGCTGCCCTGATCAACGAGACCCTTTGCCAGGGACATTGCAATTCCACCAACACCACCAATAGGGTAGTTTATCCCACCAAAATGCCTGTCACATAAAACCTGAAGCAGACAGCATTCAGCGAAACGAGACAAAATGAAGAAAAACGTCTACCACAAACTCATAAAGCCTTACCATGGCTGCATTTATCATTGGCGTTTGCAAAGCATTCACCGTGCTAACAATAAAACACTGCATAAGCACCGAAAATAAGTTAATTTCAGAAGAAATATATGGAGTATGAAAAGAAACCCTATAATTTATAAAAGACAAAACTTACACCAAATATTCTCAATTAATCAATTCTCTGAGCTCACCTCTGCATCAATAAATGACAATAGACGGGGATCGTTTATGTACTTCCGAGCCACGTCTCCAGCATTTTGAGGCAAGTAGTACGCTGCAATGTGGATACATTTAAATACTTTCAGAATATGTATAACGTTCTGTATATTGTATCCAAGACATCAAAAGATATTGACTGCTTAAAAATGAATAAGCAAGCATTTCTTCTTTGATGTGTTGCTTAAGGGTGAAAATTTTCTTCAACCGACGAGGAAAGATAGATCGAGTGTCACTCCCTCAATGAAGGCAGCGAAAACCCAATTAATAATGGCATATGTTTTGTATTCGTTATTTGTTACCTCAAAACTCTTACTCCTTGGAGAAAGTTTCAAAAATAAAATATAACCAACGAAATAAAAATCATTACCAAGTGTCAGGCATTCAAGAGGCTTCTGAAAGAACTGTCCGAAAAGGTATATCGGCTCCTCCAGCGATTTTAATTCCAATGAGTTTAAAGCATTGAATATCTATCCATGTAAGTAAGTTCATCACGTAAGCCAATCGTTGAGGAGAAAAAAATCAGGAGGAAGATGCAGTCATCTCAATAAAAAAAACTGACCTTCCAACAGGCTCCATAGAATTTGAGGATTCCTTCTCTTTCATGGGGAAAATTGCTAACAAGTTCTTCGATAAATTCACTGTATTCTCGGTGAATCCTTACCGAAAGATTTGTAGGTAGATGGAAATGAACAGTGGTTGGATCGGGAATCACTTGCATCTCACAACCGACAGCTGACAAAGCTTGTGTAATTAAATTTAGATTTCCCTGCCAAAGAATCAATGAGACTACCAACCAAATGACTCAAATTGAAGAGAAAATTACAGCAGAGTTTCCTGGAAATAACTCATGAATGAAAGATGGAAGTTGCACTAACAGACATCAAATATATAAATCAGAAGTGCAAAATGCAGCAACCATCAACCAAATGAAATGAAGTGAGCAAGATATGATCTTTTTTAACAAGCCCAGTGGTCTGAACCAGAAAATCACTCTTCAGATCTTTTAGAAGAGCATTGTAGTATCTAATATACTTCATTGATCTATGCATAGATTTTTTTCTAGAGAGATGTATGTACACATTGATTTCTTTCTAGAGAAATGTGTGTCTATATTTTATATATATGAGTATCCAGGTCAGCTTATGTAACAACCCAAGCCCACCGCTAGCATATATTGTCCTCTTTGGACTTTTCCTTACGGGCTTCCCCTCAAGGATTTAAAAACTTTCACACCCTTATAAGGAATACTTCATTCCCCTCTCTAACCGATGTGGGATCTCACAATCCACCCCCTTGTTGGCACACCGCCCAGTGTCTAGTTCTAATACTATTTGTAATAGCCTAAGCCTACTGCCAGTAGATATTGTCATTTTTGGGATTTTCCTCAAGGTTTTAAAACGTGTCTGATAGGGAGAGGTTTCCACACCCTTATAAGGAATGCTTTGTTCCCCTCTCCAACCGATGCGGGATCTCACAGCTTATGTGCACCTCACAAGACAACCACCTAACCTTACCACATTTAGTTGTTAAGGTAACTCATAGAATATAAATTCTTAGTGCCCATCATTGTTTAAACTCATTTTCTCTAAGCCCTTAATTATTTCCATAACCCTAATTGACCATTAGGCCAACCCATAGTGAGTTTCTCAAATGTATACACACCAACGATCTCTTCATCTTAGCCACGTTCGCATTCACTTTCTCCGTGCTACTTCCCTCGTTCTCTGGTTATAGCTAAGGAACCTAAGTTAACCTTGCTCACTTATATGCTTTCATACTCTTTGAAATTCAATGTAGTAGGTGTACTTACATGGCTCTTCCCATACAATAAAGCTTAAAATCTACTTCTAACAAATGTACACTTCAATCCAGGGATAGATGATTAAGGAGACTAGTTTTTGCCCTTTCAATCACTTTAACAATCAGAGCCACAACATAACTCTCTCTCACTGTATGAACAAACTAAATCAAGAGCATGAACAATCATTCAAACCAAAAGGTAATGGCATGCTTTGTATCTCAATTAAAATGATAAGTAACAACAATAATTAATGAACGAACCTTATCACTGAAACCAAACATTACAGAAGATCCAACATCAAAAGTATAGCCATCCCTCTGATAATAACCAGAGCTCCCACCAGGAATCACATACTTCTCCAAAACCAAGACCTTAGCTCCTTTCACTGCTAATTGAGTAGAAGCAACCAAGCCCCCAATACCTGACCCAATAACAATAGCATCATAATGGCTCTTCTCCTCGCTTCCTCCTGCTGTTCTATCGCCGTCGCTCTCCACATCTTCATCAACGCTCAATACAGATTTTGTCCTCACGATGAACTTTTCACTTCTCAAATTCGCCCCAGAGAAGCCTGTATCAAGAAATTTAGCTTGCCAATTTCTGGGTTTTTGGCATCTGGGTTTGTTCCTATCTACAATTTTTTTGTTACTCAAATGAAAATACAGAGGGGTTTTGCACCCAAAATCCAAGTCAAAATGGGCATTATAAACAGCAGATGGAGAATTAAGCGGCAAACCAAGCATGGAAAGTGAGCGGAGAACAGCCATTTTGATCGTTCCGCTTCGGATTATGAAGAATTCAGTAGTTCAGCTTCGGATTATAAACCAGAGGGAGGGTTTTGATTCGAACCCATGATTCCTTTTGAAGATGAGACAAAATGGGCGTCCGATTGGCTCTTATTTAATCGCAGAACCAAAAATGGAAGTGCGTTTTTCGATGTTTGCTTCGAGTAACTTCAATTGACGGTTGGTGGGGCGGTGGAAATTTGGAACTTCAATTACTTGGCTAGTGGGTAGCAGTGTAATCCACTTTCCTCACCCAGTGTTAATGGCTCAAGTTGAGCAGAGCCATAAATGGATGAGGAATTTCGAATTTGTGGCAAGACTTCCTCGATATTCTCTCAAATTCTCCAAAATCTGAGGAGATTGAATTGGGTTCTTGAAATGGCTGTTGGGTTTGCGGAAAAAAAGGAACCCACTATGGGCTAGCTTAGTTAGTCTAATAGTTGTAGCCTATTTTATCAGAACAAAAGGGCTGAGCTAGGGACTTCCTTTCGAATAGAGAAGCTAACTGAGCAGGGCGCAAGCGATCGACTAATCAAGGAGCTATCCTCGCAGCAAAGGGCGCTGATAGCGGAGTTTCACCGCTTGTGGAACAAGAAACTGAGCTCCAAGAGCACACTACTGGAAGAAAGAGCACCGAAAGCTATACCATTCAGTCTGCTCTTCTTGTTCGTTGAGTTTGGTTTCATGTTCACTGGTCAGGATAAGATAAGCAGGCGGGTTTGACTGACGCATTAATAACTAAAATCTCATAAAATTTAAATATTTAAACATTTTTAAATGAGGAACTACTCATAAAACTCTCATATTAATAATTAAATCTTATAAAATTTAAATATCAATCATTCTTAAACCAAAATGCATCACTAATCTCGGTTACAATTACTAAATATTATTAGTTTTTGTAAAAATAAGGTTAGGTTGGGTTAAAATCTATTCATTTTCGTTAAGTTTTAAACTGTGATATTTTTAATAAAATTTAAGGTTTACGGGTATTATTGAAACAAAACTCATAATTTAGACATATTTTCTTTCCTTTAGCGTTAAACACTCGCCAGTTTGGACAACATCCGTGTCTACTCAAATTGGTCCCTAATTAGGTACTTGTTCAAAAATGAAATAACATTTAGGTACAACTTGGCTTGCTTAGCCTAAGCCTTTTCTTATATTATCTAAAAGAAAGTTAGCTCACTTTATTGTTGATTAGTCACATGCAATGTGACAAAGACCCTTTATATTTAGTCTAATAGGTGGTCGTTCGATCTAATTTGATAACCATCTATCTTTAATTTTTAACATCATGAATAAACCAAGACCATATCTGAATGAGAGCAATCTTAAAGATAAAATGATTAAAAAATTATTCAATGAATTGAAATTCATTATCTATACCAACAAAGTACACATTCCTCTTCGATCATTCAATCATAGCAATTCTATAGTCAAGCTTACTGTGCTTTGAAGAATTGTATCTTAGTGTTCAAATGCATGTGAGTAAGAACAAATAATGCTATAAGGTCTCCTGTTGAGAAGCAAGGAGTAAGTAACTTGACTATGTTGTAGGTAAATGTCAGAGAGCGAATCTTGACATGGGTCGTTAGGAGGTCCCTGGCAACAAACCAACAAAAAAGTTCCTCCCTCTCTTCATAACCTTTCATTGCCTGTGCACCTCAGCTATTGATAAATCATCGAAAACACTTGCCACTACTCATCGATTCGATTGAGAAGATACCATCCTGACATTGTTTTGAGTCACTAGATGATTATTTTTTCTGAAAATAATTAAATATACAAATTCGTAAATTCATATTAATTTTTATAATTTCACAAGAAATTTTCTTCATCGGTGTAGGAGGCCCACTGCCTAACATCCATTTACTCCGACACCGTCCAACTTCCAAAACTGGTTTTTAAAACCATTAATTTTGTGCAACATTTGAAAATAAATTTCATATTTCTTCAAAATTTTCAGTGAGAATATTCCCATCACCATCTCAAAAGAAGCGCCAACGAATTTGGATCCAATTCTTATCATCACTCTTCTCCACTGATTCCTCTAATCTATCACCTCCCAATTTCACAGGTATTTTTCTGTTTCTGTCATTTCCGATTCATGTTCTAATCGAGACCCACTACTTCCTCATCCATCCACATCATTACAAATCACACCCAGTTTCTAATTTCTGTGAACTCGGAGACATTTTGATTTGATCATCCCTTTTTCTTGATGTTTCAGCGTCAATTCTTGGTGGGTGCCGCTTATTTTCAGGCGCAGTGATCGACAGTGCTGGGGTAAGTGTTTTGTTATTTTGTTTTTCCTTCTCGTTTTGAGTTGTCGCGATTGGTGCGATCTTCATCGATTGTTTGGTTACTGGGAAAATATCGGAATCGAAGAAAATGATTAGGGATTTCGTTGTTGCGATTGTTCTTTAGATTGTTTTGGTTGATGCCATTGTTCCTTTGGGTTGGAGTTTTTTCAACTAGTTTCGGTTGTTAAATTTGGCCATTAGAGCTCGATTACTTTACTGTTTGGCTAGCTTACCCAATCGTTTTGATTGTTAAACTTGCTTCTGTTCATCATATGAATCAATCCTGTGGCCTTCTTTGAGTAGATGATGGATTATTTTAGTTGGTAGATTAAGATTTGATTGATCAAGTAAATGTTATGTGAAATTTGTGTTTTCTGGGATTGAATCTTAAAAACTTTAGCCTAAAACCTTTTTTTTTTTATACAAGAAATCCTTTCTTGTAATGTATCTAAACATTTGGGAGCTTATTCACCAAGAGTTTAAACGCCCATAACATGATTCGAAAGCAACTCGCTTCATGTGATTTCACCTTGGCGATGCGATGTACCCATCACCACCTTTTTCTCAACTGCTCCTTCGCTGATGTTTCTGAAGTTGCTTTCGACTTAACCTTGTTCTTCTGTTAAAAATGGTCGGGCTTCCCGTCCGATAGACGAAGAAGATTCTTTAGCTTCACTTTGTTAGAGACTTTTTTTTTTTTTTTTACCCTTTGGCTCCAAAGGAACATTTGAATCTTCAACGAGAAATAAAACTCTTCTTATTGGTTTATAGAATCTTTATCCTTTTTGGATCTCATGGTGTTGACTCTCTCCTCCGTTCAATAATTATTGTATAAACATTCTTTTTGCCCAATTTGAATACTTTTTGTAATCTCATTTGGGTTGGGGTCTGGCTTTCCGCCCCTCTTTGTATTTGAAATAATAAATAAAGGAAAACATGTATCTACACCTCATGTGTGAGAGATCCCGCATTGGAGAGGGAAACGAAGCATTACTTATAAGGGTGTGGAAACCTCTTCCTAATAGACGTGTTTTAAAACCTTGAGGGGAAGCCTAAAAGAAAAAATCCACAGAGAACAATATCTGCTAGCGGTGGGCTTGAGCTATTACAAATGATATCAAAGCCAGACACCGGGCGGTATGCCAATGAAGACGTTGGACCTCCAATGGAGTGGATTGTGAGATCTCACATTGGTTGGAGAAGGGAACGAAGCATTCTTTATAAGGGTGTGGAAACCTCTTCCTAGTAGACGCGTTTTAAAACCTTGATAGAAAGTTCGAAAGGGAAAGCCCATAGAGGACAATATCAGCTAGCGTTAGGTTTGAGTTGTTACATGGCTATGTAAAATGTCAAGTAATGTTATACTTATAAACAGAAAGAAGTTGACAACTTCTGAATGCTCATGCAAATGCTCAATATGAAGCTATAAAGAATTTATTCACCTGAATAAAACTTTCATCCATTTCTCATATCTCCTGAGTTGAACATGAGTATATTTTTCATCTTTAATTATACTCCTGCTATTAAAATTTGATTGACCTTTTGAGTTGTATTCTAGATTGTCTCAACTACAGTATCAGCCCGAGGATTGCAATGATGGACAGGCTTAGTGTTTCAGCGCGTCTCATGATAGTTTCAGATCTCGATCATACCATGGTTAGATCTTTAATACTTCGTTTATTATTTTATAACTCCATTTCCTTCTGGCAGCAATCTAATCTGTTGAACGGTTTCATTTAAGGTTGATCATCACGATTCAGAGAACTTTTCTCTGTTGAGGTTTAATGCATTATGGGAAGCCAATTACCGTCACGATTCTCTGCTTGTTTTCTCAACTGGAAGATCCCCCACTCTGTACAAAGAGCTAAGGAAAGAGAAACCTATGTTAACTCCTGACATTACCATAATGTCTGTGGGAACTGAGATAACCTATGGCCACTCAATGGTGCCTGATGAAGGTTGGGTTGATGTTTTAAATCAGAAATGGGATAAGAACATAGTCATTGAGGAAGCCAGCAAGTTTTCTGAACTTACTCCTCAGGTACTGTTCATACTTTTGAGTAGCTATGTTGGCCAAATAAGATTTTCAATTAACCATTGCAGTAAGGTATAAGTCATGTAAAAGACTGACGATTTGGGTTCATGTAGGCTGAGTCAGAACAACGACCACACAAGGTTAGCTTCTATATTCAGAAAGATAAGGCTCAGGCTGTTACCAAGGCTCTTTCTGAGTCTATGGAGAGACGCGGGGTAAGGTTTCATGTACAACTTTTTATCCGTTGACTGAGTCGTATCACAGCGTCTATCATTTAAGCTCGTGTACCAACCATTGGGTCAAGAAGGAATTTTAACCATGAAGCTACCGTTTTTTGTGCTTATTACCAGTTGGATGTAAAAATAATCTACAGTGGAGGGATAGATTTGGATATATTACCACAAGGTGCTGGAAAAGGACAAGCGCTTGCTTACCTGCACAAAAAATTCAAGTTGATCGGGAAACTACCAACTAATACTCTTGTTTGTGGTGACTCGGGGAACGATGCTGAGCTATTTAGCATTCCAGACGTATTTGGTGTCATGGTAGTTCATCTGCATTACAATTTGTTAACATCATAGAAAATTCCATTTCCTTTTTCCACCTATGAAATATTATGCATTATGTAGGTTAGTAATGCCCAGGAGGAATTGTTGCAATGGCATGCTGAAAATGCCAAGGACAACAGCAAGATTATTCATGCTTCAGAGAGATGTGCTGCTGGAATTATACAAGCCATCGGTCATTTTAACCTCGGTCCAAGCACTTCTCTTAGAGATGTCAAGGACTTCTTGAACTCTAGTCTGGAACCTGAAAGCATTGGTCATGAAATCGTGAAGTTTTACTTGTTTTACGAGAAATGGAGGCGTGCAGAAGTTGAGGAATCTTGCTTCGATCACTTGAAAATAGCCTTTGTATGTCTTATCTCTTTGATCTTTTGATTCTCATTTCGTGACAACATTGTCTTTACTTCGTTCTTGCTCATGTAATTCAATATCAGCATCTCTTGTGGTCTGCTGTTCTTGTATGCTGAATCTGCTCATTATTTTCTTGACCTGAATTGTGTAGAATTCGGCCTGGTTCGAGACTCTCTTTTGATTACTTTGATCTCTTTTTTTCTCTCTCAGAATCCATCTGGTGTTTTTGTTCATCCTTCTGGTCTCGAGCAATCTCTCTCAGACAGCTTGAATTCAATAAAAAAGCACTATGGAGATTCTCGAGGAAAACAGTATCGAGTATGGGTTGATCGAGTGCTGCCCACGAAGATCGGCTTGGACTCGTGGCTCGTGAAGTTTGAGAAATGGGAATTATCTGGTTTGACTGCTTCCCTCTTGGTTTCCTTATCTTCTCTCCACTATCCTTTTTAGATTTATCTTATTTTCAAGAAATTTTCATTGCATTAATCAGGTCATTTGATATTGAAAATCGGAATACCAAATTTCCTAAGTGAACTCATGACCCAAATAGTAAAAGTCTCAAGTCGATAATCAAGTGTTGTGAGATCCCACATTGGTTGGAGAGGAGAGCGAAGCATTCTTTATTAGGGTGTGGAAACCTATTTTAAAAACCTTAAGGAGAAGCTGGAAAGGTAAAGTCCAAGGAGGACAATATTTGCTAGCGGTGGGCTTGAGCTATTACAAATGGTATCAGAGCCAGACACCGAACGGTGTGCGAGCGAGGACGCTGGGTCTCGAAAAGGGTGGATTGTGAGATCCCACATCGGTTGGAGAGAGGAACAAAACATTTTTTATAAAGGTGTGGAAACCTCTCCCTAGCAGACACGTTTTAAAAATCTCAAGGGAAAGCTCAAAATGGAAAACTCAAAAGAGAACAATATCGGCTAGCGGTGGGTGTAGGTTATTACAGTGTCGTTCATAGACTTGTGTGTCTGTATACTTTCCCGATTACCTGCAACCGTTGGCTGACTTGTCGACTCTTTACAGGCGAGGAGCGACTATGCTGCTGGACAACTGCCATACTAAGTTCAAAGGTAAGAAATCAACTGAAAAAAGCTGATTTTGCTGTCTTTCTTGTATGTTTCACTGAGATTGTGAGCTTCTGTAAAATTTAGGATTCAAATGGTGGCAATGAGTTTGCTTGGTTACATGTCCATCAGACTTGGCTGGAAGGATCAAAAGCAGAGCTTAGTTCAACCTGGCTCTTTTAGATGGTTCTTTTCGCTCAATCCAAATCTTTTTAACACCACAACTAAGGCAATGCTTCTAATGCTTCCGCTTCTTATAAAAAATAAATGTAATTTGATGGTTTTGACATCTTTATGAATAAGTTTAATATCATGATTACTTTGAAGGCTTCATTATGATAAGAATGAGATATGGAACGGGTTGTTTGTGATAATGTGTCGTTCTTTCATACTTTATCTATATAAGCGTCTCAGTCACTGTCATATCGTTTCAAGTCATTATCATGTCGATTTTTCTGTAAGATTAATATTCTCATAGGGTTTCAACGCTACTACAGCACTTCGCTAATGCTTGGCTAAGTCTTGAACGTTCACGCTGACCGTTCGCTTTTTTAGTAGCAAAAGTTTACTCCGAAAGTAGTTCTGATATATTTATGAAAGGTTAAAGGTATATTTTATATATATGATTTAGCCTATGCATAGGCTCAAAATTCCATTAAATATCTTCCTTAGCCTATAATATAATCTTAAATATTCGTAACTAGTTCTAACAATGAGCTTGAATTTATTGTCTTTCTAGAAATAACTAGTACCGTCATTTTTTGAACAGTACTGTAAATTATAATTCTTTTTTAAATGATTGGCAGCAAGATGATTTATTAGTATAATTTAATATTATAAGATCAACAAACAAAAGGATTATCGACAATGATAGATGAACTTAAAAAAAAAAAAAGGACCACTCTAATTAATAAATTAAAAAAAATTAAAATAAAGAGATTAAATTAAAATATTTTAAAGTGATATCATAAAAATGAGTTGAAATTTGTTTAAAAATTGGATACCAAACATTATTAACATATTTAATATATGATAATAGGTTTACGTTATATATTGACCAATAAAACACCTCTATATTTTAATTCGTTTTTTATTTTATTAAAATTATTTCATCTAACACATACATTTGTGTTTAGAGTGTCCAACGACAACTCTTTTAACTTTTAGTTTCGTGTCCTCTGATAAGTTCCTAATTTACACGATATTAATGAGTATTTGAAGTCGTATATTAGAAGTCAATGTACAACGTGTGCGTAGGAATGTTTTAAAAAAGCAATTAACCCAACCCCATTAAATAAACGAGAACTCTATTGATTATGTTATTTCATGAATTTCCCTAAAATTAACTTGAGTTGAATCGGACCAATCTGAATTTATTGTTAAATTTAAAATACACTGTCGTAATTTTTCAAATAAAAAATGAAAGTAAATCTTAATTAAATATTTTAAAACATCCCAAAACCTTTGCTTATGGCAATGGATTTAAAAGTCAAATGGGAATCATATTATAATTTAAAATTAGATTAATTATATATTTAAAGCTTTAATATTCTTTTGACTTTCTTCAATTTCGGTAGGGAGTTGGTTTTAAATTAACCATTTTTAATTATACCAAATTTGTTTTCTAGTGTGTAAAAATTTAAATCTTTTAACGATAAATTCAAACTCTAACCTCTAATAATATTCTATTTTCAGCCATCAATAATAATAAAAGCAAGAATTAAGTCAATTAAATAATATTAATAAATATATTAAATTAATAAAAATATCTCGAAAATTTATTGGGTTCTTGAAAATAATATATTTAAATTAAAAAAAAAATACTCTTAATACCAAATTTCGTTTTATTAAAAAAAAAAAAAAAAAAAAAAATGTCTCTCTGTAATCTCACCATTTTTTCTCTCCTTCTCAACAGAAATTCCCCATTTCTGTCTCTACTTCCTCATTTATAGGATCACATTTGATTCTCAACCAGACCCCAAAACAATTCCCCATCTCTCACTCTCTCCGTACTCCGGTCATTCTTCGAATTTCAGCTTTCGCCGCCGCAATCTTCGCCGTCCCCCCTGTTCTTATTCCGCCTCCCTCTGCCTCTTCTCCTTCGGGCCTGGATTGCTGTTCACCGGCAACTCCACTCTCCGCTTCCTCGCCTGTTTCTCATTCTTCTCTCATGGCTGCTTGTGCTCTTCTTCTCTGATTAGATTTGGGAAACCTTCTTTGTGGGAGGAGGGATTGGAGATTTGATTATATCGATTGCTTTGTTTTCTGTTTTTATTTATTTATGTATTTGTTTATTTTTTTGGTGTGATCTGCTCGATTCCTTCTCCCACAGAGAATGTTTCTGATGGAGGAAGTCGAGGTTCTGTGACAGGAGTTAGCGATTTTCATTTTCGATTTCTGGTTTTTCTTGGTGATTTTCCGTCGAGAAACAGGAGGAAGATAGAAAGGAGGTTTCGATTAATATCAACGATATTTGTTGCTAAACCTAGCGGAATAATCGGCAATGTCGAATAAGGTTATGTTCCCTTCGCCATTGTCGAAACGTGAGCAACCACTGTTACGGAGCAAATCCATACCCGGCAGCCTCCGGTTCGCGGAGGTTGCTGGCGGCACAACCGCCGAGTGCGCTGCTGTGTGCTGTTGTTGTCCTTGCTTTGTCCTCCACTTCCTCGTCCTCGCCATTTACAAGGTTCCGGCCGGGCTCTGCCGCCGCGCTTTAAGGACGAGGCGCCGGCATAGTCTAAGGAAGGGAACTCTTCCGGCGAGGCGCGGGCGGTGCTCCGCCTGCAGTTACGACGAGGCGGATCTTCAGATTCTTACCGGCGGAAAAACGATGCACGCATCGGAACTGAAAGGTAAAAAATCGGACGAAACGGAAAGAAAAGTTATGGAACTGGAAACAGAGATGTGGGAGACTTTTTACGGTACTGGTTTCTGGAGAAGCCCCTCTCAGAGAGATCAAATTACAGATTCTATATGAAAATTACCATTTTCATAGCGATTGTTCTTCCATATCTCTGCAAATTTTCCCGGAAGAGGAAAATTTCGCGATCATCTCTCTGAGTTCTGTGTGTGTTTGAATTTGATGTGTTTAATTTCTCCAGATCTTGTACTTTCTCGCTTCTTCTTAATTCTCGTGCATGGAAAAAGAAGAGACTAAATAAGCAAGCATGTTTTATATATATGGTGACATAAATTTGACCGAGATTTGGATTCTTTTTAGGTTTAACTTATAATTGATGCTTAAAGAACTGATTATTGTTACCATTTATTTTAATTTCATGAACAATGTTATATTATAGAGTATGATGCCAACCTATATTTGAGCCTCCAATCTATAACCCTATGACATTGCTAATGGTAATGGGCGAGGAGATCTGTTACAACTCGATTTGAGTCTGCTAAGCTAATTGGCATGTTCTTATGCCCTCTTCCAAGACGGGTTTACGGTATAGAGACCCTTAGACCATTTTCACCTTATAGCCACATGGTAGCTTTGACGTGCTACACTATCCATATTAGGTCTAACTCAATGGTGGCCTTGACATGCTGTACTATCCACCTTGGACCAACTCAATGGTAGCAGTGACGTGCTACACTATCCACCTTAGACCTTACTCGACGATACCTGAACTATTATTACTTGCAAGGATGTTGCTAGCGTTAAGGGCGTAATCAATGGTATTGGGCCTCATAGACTTTCTTAGTCACACTACTACTGGGCCTGATAAGACTTTCTTAGTTGTCTTTACTGTGGAAGTCATTATTCTTCATTTCAGAATGCGACTAAAAAGACAAAAGCAGTCTACTAGGTTTTTAGAGGCATTTAAGGTAAGCAGTTTATTTCTCATTATAAATTCGAATTAAAGTCATACAACATCATAATCAAAATCCTAAACAAAAATATTACAAAAATAGGTTATGTAAATTTATAGACCACCTTGACGAGTAGCATCATTCACCGGTAAAAAAAATGTAGGAATTGGTGAGTATAAAAATACTCAACAAGGACTCCTCTGGTTCATCATCGGTCCCTTCATATAAACCCTATGTAGTTGGGGAACCATTAAAATAAAAGAATTCACGAGTAGTTCCATATGTTTTATATTACACAAATATTGTAATGATGTCAAATATATTTTTTAATTTTTATATATGAATCATTATATAGATTTAAGAATAAAATGAATAATTGAAACGTTTAAAAATAAAAATAAATTGGAGATAAGATTTTGATTTAAAATGTTTGATTATTATATGAAGAAAGAGCGTAGGATTGTCTATAATTGTTGAATTGCACTAATTCACATGATCTTGTAGACATGACGCTAGGAGACAATAATTGATATGACAAAATATATATATATATATATTTATCCATTAGATAATAAACTATTGGTTCTAAGCCATCTCTAGATGAATCAACAATCCGAATGCTTTTCTTGCATATTCTTGATAAACCAGCGTTTATATATACATATAGAAAGATCTGTTTCGGAAGTAAGCAGCCCTTTTGTCTGCAAAGAATTCTGATGCGAAAACACAGAGACAAAAGACTGATCTTTGAATAGGAAAAAGATCCACTTGCCCTGAAATGACCTAGCCTAATAGGAAAATCCCAATTCATTGGGCCTTTCGATACAATCAAATAGAAAGCCCAAAGGGCGCCATATTCTAAGAGCCCAAACTATGTTATTGAATAAATCCTCCTCTATCTGTTGCGGGTCGAGGACTCCTTCTCCTTCCCCTTCTTCAAACTCCGATTCGTATTGTTCATAGAGAAATCTTTGATCAACGATAGAACAAGATCCATTTTGTATCATATCTAAGGGATTCTTGGGTTCGGGCCGAAGAAGCAATGTCACTCGATCATTATCAAATCGACTGCAATCTTTTTCTGTCTGTGAGGATCCCAATCCCAACAGAGCGCCTTCTACTTCTAATAGGTCATGAACTAGATAAGAATCATTCTCAACGAGTCCATAAGAAGTGATCCCATTTTTTTCATCGGGTCTGGATAAAGACCAAAGGTCTTGAACGACCGATCCGGCAGAACAACTCAAAAGAACGACAGGTTTTTATTTATATATATATATATAAATAAAAAAGGAATATTATATTATAATTTTTTTTTTTGTTATAATTAATTAAAGATTCTTAAAAGAAATATAAAATAATGATATTCAACAACTAATAATTAATTTTAAAATAATTTGAAAAACTATAAAAATAATTTATTAATTTAAGTAAGATGTTAGTCGGTAAAACATACTTTTAATTTACATTTATAAATTAAATATATATTGAAAAATGACATCTAAAAATTATTTTTAAAAGAGAATAAAAAATTAAAAAAAAATTATAAAATTAGATAAAATAAATATATTTATATATAATTTATCATAAGTAAAAATATATATATTTTTTAAACTAATAATAAAATTGGATTAATTTAGTTTAATTAAACTTGATTGAATTCAATCCATAAAATTTTAATTTATTTGAACCCAATTTCAAACCATCTAAAATATAAAATTTAAAAATAAAATCAATAAAAATAGCACTTTTTGTTTAATTAATTATTTTTTCCTTTAGTTTTTATTTATTTTTATTCATTTTGTCCTTTTATTTTTAAAACATAGCGTTTAAATAGATGTAATAATTATTTAAATTATTTGATTGATATTTCAAATGACAAAGAGTAAATTATAAATTACATTATTTTTATTTTTATTTTTATTTTTCAATAAAATAATTTATAAAAGCAGTGATATAAAATGTATTAAATTTTACTAGGTAAATAATTATTTTATTGATTAGTATCTATTTAATATATTAAAATTCAAAATTAAATCACTTCCTATTTTTGTTTTGATATTATATTAATGACATTTAATTATATTCATCCAACATAATTTTATATATGGTAAAACAAATTTAAAAACTCCACATAAATTTTAATATAATCAAAATTATTTTGTATACATACAAAATCACGTTTAAAAATTTAAATGAGTACAAAATCACTCTAAATATCTAAACTTTATTCAAATATTTATAATAAAGATTATATTTTTATTCTGTTAATCGGTAGAATTAGGTTTGTTTTGAGGTTTTTGATTTTGGGATTGGATAATTGTAATCAATTATGGAAGTGGGTGTGAAGGATGAGACTTTTGAGGTTCTCTCTAATGCTTTGTTGGTGGGTTTGTTTTCCAACACACAAAAAGATCTTTAATGGAAGAGAAAAAAAAAAAAAAGAAAAGTAAAACAAAAACAAGAGAGAGAGAGAAAGGGAATAGAGGTTAAAGCAACAACAATCAATACCCATTATTAAAGGTGAAGGGGCATTTGTCTTGTGCCTTGCTTTTATCCTTTTTTTTCTCTCCGATTATCATTTTTCTTCTTTCTTCCTTGGTGGATTCTGGGGTTATTAAGATTTGGTGATATGTTTCCCTAGCAGAGATTGATTTTCTCTGGAACAGGGGAATTTCTGAAGCTCGATCCGATTCGTTTTATGGGTTTTTTTCGTTGAATTTCTTCAACCCATCTTCTGGGAATTTCCCAATTGTTTAATCGAGGTAAACCCATAAGTTATTATGCACGATTCTCTGATGTGATGTGATGCGATTATCTTTAATCTTTTCCCGCTTTTTAATTTCAAAATTTTCATCGAGACATTCATGGAAATCGAGTCTTGTTCTAGTTGGTGAATCGGATTTATGTTATTTGATCAAGGAGAAGTCGTGAATCATGATGGATTTGATCGGATTTGGATTGTGTGTTCTTGTGTAAATTAGGGTTAAATTGATCGTGGTGTTTATGAATTTTAGGTTTTGGAGATGGAGGAAGAGAAGGATTCTGAGAATCGTTTGACATCGGCTGCTGCGTTTGTGGAAGGGGGGATTCAAGAAGCTTGTGATGATGCTTGCAGCATATGCCTTGAGGATTTTTGTGAAAGTGATCCTTCTACGGTACAATGATTGAGCCATTTATCTTTATTGATTGTACCTTCCTTCCTTTTTTCTTGATGCAAAAAGTGGTGAAAAAAGAGTGAAAATGCCCACTTATTTCCACAGTGATTGTATGAATATGAACATGAAAATTCCATTACTTATGATTCTTGTCTTGTAGGTTACTGCTTGCAAGCATGAGTTTCATCTCCAATGCATCCTTGAGTGGTATGATACAAGTGTTGCTCTCTTCTAAATTGTTACTGTTTATCATATGCACCTGGCTAGCAACTCCTGTTCAGTTTGGTTGTTCTGTTTATCCGATATTTTAATCTTTTCGAAGGTTACAATCGTTCTTGTTTCATGGATTTGGGAATGTTTTGTTAAATGTATTGTAAGTTAATGTGTGATGCATTTGGAGCTTTGTTCTTGTGTTCTTGAGAAGTGACTTAATCTGATAATTCTGCTACCTGCGATTGTTGATAATATTGTCCGTTGGGACTGGCAATGAAGGCATACTTGTGATATTGAATTGCTCGTTTGATATGCAGGTGCCAGAGAAGTTCTCAATGTCCTATGTGTTGGCAATCTATCAGCCTGAAGGACCCGACCAGGTTCGCTTTTTTACTTCCATGTGGTGCATCTGCAGTTTTGCGGGGTTTGAATATTATGGCGTTTGTTTACTTGTTTATGTTTTGGCAGTCAAGAGTTGTTGGAGGCGGTTGAACGAGAGAGGAATATAAGGGTCACTCCCGTGAGAAATACTGCTGTGTTTCATCATCCAGCTATTGGCAATTTTGAGTTGCAACATGTTCGTTTCTCTTCTTGCCTTTTTACTTTTTCGAGTTTTGAAGATATTGGAATTGTCGAAGATGATGTTTTCTTCTAATGCAGCTACCACTGGGTGTTACTAATGCCGAGCTTGAAGAGAGAATAATCCAGCACCTGACTGCAGCTGCTGCAATGGGGAGGGCACACCATATGGGTAGAAGAGAAGTGCAGAGGAGTCAATCGTCATCTCATGGACGTCCTCACTTCTTGGTTTTCTCCACTCATCCTGGTGGACCTTCGTCTGAGAATGTCTCAGCCTCCGAAGGGGGCACTGATCCAGCAGGGATTACTATGGCTAGCCCCTCTAGCCCACGGACACCTCGTGGGGATGAACCATCACAGCACATTGCACAGTTTCAGTCCATTCAGACTGACCAAATTTCTCGCTCAGCATCTGGATCCAACTTTTCAGCCAATCGGCGAGGAGCTTCATCTAGTGTTCGGTATATAACTGTCTCAAATGATCTTGATATGACTTCTTTGTTGCAAGCATTTATTTATTAATAGTGATTCTTCATTCACAGAATCTCCACTAGTGATTCTCCATCTTCAAATCTGGATAGAGCTGGGCCTTCTGAATTTCAGTCATTTTCTGAATCTCTTAAATCAAGACTTAATGCAGCGTCCACAAGGTATATGTGTGTTTTAAATTCTTGATGGATATGAACTCACACACATTACACACATAATGAAGTCACAACATTATAATTAGCTGATGATGCTCTTATAATTAGCTGTTCTGAGAGCTTTCTGGTTCTAAAGGTACAAAGAATCAATTTCGAAGAGTACAAGAGGATGGAAGGAGCGGCTATTCTCACGCAACTCTTCCATGTCTGAACTTGGTTCCGAAGTTCGAAGAGAAGTAAATGCAGGAATTGCCAGTGTATCACGCATGATGCAACGTCTTGAAACCAGAGATGATGGTGTTACAAATCAAGATTCTAATGAGCCGGGTGGCCACGTTAGAAGAGAGAGCAGCCCAGAGAACTCTTTAAACGACAAAAGTGCTACAGCTTCTTGTGCTGCAACGTCTGCCGAGCGCTAAATCATTACGTATTAATTTTGGCAAATGCATCTGTCGTCAGCATCTTATTTCTTAAGGTGAGTAACAAAACACTATACCATTTATTAGCCTGCCAGTTTGGATACATATGAGTTCCTCTTAATTTTTGCATCTTTTTGGTGTCTGATGCCAGTTGGTTTGGTGCACCTTATACACACTGCTATCAGTTTGTTGTTTAAAAAGAAACATAAACTCACATGAGAAATACATACTGCTAAGTTTCTCACCAAATTATACGAAATTGTGAAAAAGTCGTGATAGCGACACAGATCTGGGAGAAAAACGAAAATATCATGGGATAATCAACAATCGAAGGGATCATTAAAATGAATCGAGGTGGATGGAAAATCACCTCTTCCATCTTTCATCATAGTAGGGCATTACCCATTTGGAGCTAAACTAAACAAAAAGTGACTTCTCGAAAGGATGTGATTTTTATCCTTGTCTTATACAACGGACCCACCATTGTTTGCCCGAGCCCATAGATCACCTATAGACAAGTCAATGGTGTCATTCTGCCATGAGCAACTGACCATCCTAACCTTCTTAGCGACTTTTAACCTTCTTGAACACGGCAAATAGAATGGGTTGTGGGAGTGGAATAAGCAAGAAGGAATTAAGATTAACAAAAGAATATATTGGAAGATTTCAAAAATCAATACAACTATGACAAGAGTTCGAGAAACCGTGCTAAGGGACTTCGATAGGTATCCTAATAGGCAAGGTTCTTCTAGGATGTAGGTTTTACGACCGGATCTGTTGGATCAAGAAAGCGTATAAACAATTTAAGCTCCTTTAACGCAATGATCATCACACCTTAGAAAAACTTTTGTAATGAGATGATTTTCAAACTCAATGCTGCAACCACTAGCCAAGAGAGCAAAAAAATTTCAGTTTCATTTATGATCTTGAAATCTTCACTCTAGAACACCTTAGAAAAGTTCTCAAATGTGATGATTTTCAAACTCTTTGTAATGAGATGGTTCTTTAAACATCTTTTTGATTCGTGTTCATCTGTTGTTTTCCATTTAGTTGATGTTCAACATTTATACTATAATTTGTTATCTGACGCGTTGTTAATATAGGTTAGTAGAAGCTAAAGTCTCATTTTGTTTTTTGTCATGCTTAAACAAATTTAAAATAGTTAGACCAAGAACCTTGAAGCAAGATTGTATCATGTATGCATTGTCACATTTAGTTTTGGACAACTAAGAGGCCGTGACACGAAAAATCGTTGAGGTCATTTGTTGGTATTTGTGGGCTTGTTAGTGGGTAATAACTTCTTACACTATAAGATCCCACATTGATTGGAGAGAGGAACGAGTATCAGTGAGGATAGTGAGATCCCGCATTGGCTGGAGAGGGGAACGAGACATTCTTTATAAGGGTGTGGACCTCTTCCTAGCAGACACGTTTTAAAAACCTTGAGGGGAAGTTTGAAAGGGAAAGCCTAAAGAAGACAATATCTGCTAGCGGTAGGCTTGGACCGTTACAAATGGTACCAGAGCCAACATCGGGCGATGTGCCAGCGAAGACGTTGGGCCCTGAGGGGGGGGGGGGTGGATTGTGAGATCCCACATCGATTGGAGAGAAGAACGAGTGCTAGCGAAGATGCTAGGCCCCCGAAAGGGGTGGATTGTGAGATCCCACATCGATTGGAGAGAAGAACGAGTGCTAGCGAAGATGCTAGGCCCCCGAAAGGGGTGGATTGTGAGATCCCACATCGATTGGAGAGAAGAACGAGTGCTAGCGAAGATGCTAGGCCCCCGAAAGGGGTGGATTGTGAGATCCCACATCGATTGGAGAGAAGAACGAGTGCTAGCGAAGATGCTAGGCCCCCGAAAGGGGTGGATTGTGAGATCCCACATCGATTGGAGAGAAGAACGAGTGCTAGCGAAGATGCTAGGCCCCCGAAAGGGGTGGATTGTGAGATCCCACATCGATTGGAGAGAAGAACGAGTGCTAGCGAAGATGCTAGGCCCCCGAAAGGGGTGGATTGTGAGATCCCACATCGATTGGAGAGAAGAACGAGTGCTAGCGAAGATGCTAGGCCCCCGAAAGGGGTGGATTGTGAGATCCCACATCGATTGGAGAGAAGAACGAGTGCTAGCGAAGATGCTAGGCCCCCGAAAGGGGTGGATTGTGAGATCCCACATCGATTGGAGAGAAGAACGAGTGCTAGCGAAGATGCTAGGCCCCCGAAAGGGGTGGATTGTGAGATCCCACATCGATTGGAGAGAAGAACGAGTGCTAGCGAAGATGCTAGGCCCCCGAAAGGGGTGGATTGTGAGATCCCACATCGATTGGAGAGAAGAACGAGTGCTAGCGAAGATGCTAGGCCCCCGAAAGGGGTGGATTGTGAGATCCCACGTCGGTTGGAGGGGAATGAGACATTCTTTATAATGGGTGTGGAAACCTCTCTCTAGTAGATAGCGTTTTAAAAGTCTTGAGGGGACATTCTTTATAATGGGTGTGGAAACCTCTTTTTAATAGATGCGTTTTAAAAATTTTGAGGGGAAGCCCGAAAGGGAAAGCCCAAAGAGGATAATATCTACTAATGGTGGGCTTGGGCCGTTACAAATGGTATCAGAGCCAGATATTGGGCGGTGTGCCAGTGAAGACTATGGGCTCCGAAAGGGGTGGATTGTGAGATCTCACCTCGGTTGGAGAGGGGAACGAAGCATTCCCTATAAAGGTGTGGAAATCTCTCCCTAGTAGCTGCGTTTTAAAAACCTTAAGAGAACCTGAAAGGGAAAACCGAAAGACGACTATATCTGTTAGCCAATGAAAGGACTCGAAAAGAATTCAAATGGGCAGTAAAAAAGAAAAGAAAAGCAGAAGGTAGCCCACTGCAAAAGGAGCACAAAATGGGGACGCCCTAAAATTATGGAAAAGTTCTCCAGTTATTATCTTTAAGAATCATTAGCCATAGGGAAGTGTGAAAGTGAAAAGCTAGCCAATAGTAAACATGATGTTAATCCTCCATTGAAGGCACCTTAACTCGAACTAGGTCTATTCTATAGTTTGTATAACTGTGTCCTTGTGTTCTACCACACGTTTGAGGTCCCACATCAGTTGGAGAGGAGAATGAAGCTGCGTTTTAAAAACCTCTCCCTTATAAGGGTGTGAAAACCTCTCTATAGCAAACATGTTAGGAAAACCCAGGACAATATCTGCTAGCGGTGGGCTTAGGTTGTTACTCAACTAGTGTTAAGACATTTGTCATCAACTAAGATGACAACCGAGCTTACTTGGAACTACGAGTTTTTGTAACGATGTTGATTATATGAGCTTCTCCATTTTTGGTCTGATGTGAAGATGAATTATGAAGCAGGTGAAACGATAAATATTCTCCAGAGGTGATATGCTGAGGAACAGATGCGTTTGCAGACAAAAAGGGTTGAAGAATTTCACGTTGTTGATTGTTGTCTGAACTGGAAGGAAAAAAAAAAAAACCCAATAAGGAAGAAGAAAGAGAGAGGGGAGGGAGATTGGGAGAAAAGCTTACCATCTGGACATCTTGTATCTAACTTTTTCTATACACAAAAACAGTGGTGATGCGAAAAACACATTAACAAAAACTATGTTTGGATGGGTTACCCTTTTGGAATTGAATTTTATTTGAATGTTCATATTAAAACGAGTTTCGAATGTTTCAACTCATGTTCGATTCATCTCGGTTAGTCATTTTGATTGTTTTCTCCGTCGAGTAATGATTCTTCAACTGTTCGTTTCAACATAAGACTTCTTATGGCTTTCATAGCTGATGCTCGTGTGCATGCCGAACAAGTTTTACCTTGCCGTGTGTCAGTCCCAATGTTACTGATCATCGCCTTGGTAAGCTATCTCTATTCCATTATTTTTATTTTTTAATTTGAGGATTTGTAAGATATTTGTTTGAATATTTAGATTTTGAGGTTGGTTGGTGAGCATTCAGAAAGATATCTTTGTCTGAAAAATTAATTATTTTTTGGGTACACTCGACTTCATGTGAATGTCCTTATTGTCCTCTCCTCTTTTAGTCTCGATTGGAACAACATATCTACTAGACTAACATCACCGACAATAAAAAGTAACAAATATGCTAATAAACCAGCATGTAAATAATTAATGACATTCTTTTATCATAGAATTATCATCGGGTTAATATATTTATACGGAATTAAATCAAATTATACTGAATTTATTATTAATTTTAAAATATACATTATATATTTATTTAATTTTATATCTATATATTTTATTATTTATTGTCAGCCCATTCCTAACCATAATTTTTAACTATAAAGAAAGGAATTTTTTTTAAATTTTTAATATTATATTAAAATTAACAATAATTTTTAATATATATTAAATTGAGTTAGTAGATTTTAATTAAAATATTTAAAAGGTAACTGTTTTATAAACTAAAATTTAATTTTATTAAAAACAAAATTTAAATTAAATTAAAAAAATGTATAATAAATTCGTGTAAAAAATATCTGGACTCGAACCCAGACACTCCCTTTATAAGAGGGCGGTGAGCAGACAGTGTGTCAGTGTCGATACCGCGTGGGTCCGGAAGGCGCCAGCCTGTTGTTTTGCCGTCAGCAGCCTTCTTCTTCCTCCCTTCTCGCCTCTCTCGTCGTCCTCCATTGTTACTTCCTCTCTGTCCCCACTCCCAATTCCCTCTCTCTCGCCGACACCGACAGTTTCCCCTCCAAATATTTCCCGCACTCTTCCACTTCCACTTCCATTTCCATTTCCCCTTTCTTATCTGACCGCCATGGATTCCTCCTCCAATGGCTTCTCTACCCTCTTCCTCTTTCTTTCCCTCCTCTCCCTTTCACCTCTCTCCTCCGCCGTCCTCCGCCGTAATCCACCTCCCAAATTCCCCTCCTCCTCCGCCGCTCCCCAGATCAACTCCAACTCCATCCTCGTCGCCCTTCTCGACTCCCACTACATTGAATTTGCAGAGCTCGTTGACAAAGCTCTCTTGCTCCAAACCCTAGAGAACGCCGTTGGGAACCATAATCTCACCATTTTTGCTCCCACGAATCAAGCTCTTGAACGCGAGTTCGACCCTGAGTTTAAGAGGTTTCTGTTTGAGCCGAGGAATTTGGAATCGCTTCAGACGCTTTTGATGTCCCACATTGTTCCCATTAGGGTTGCCTCGAATCACTGGCCCGACGATCGTTCTTCACCGATTCGACATTGGACTTTGGGGAATTCGTATTTGCATTTGGGGAACTCCGTTTCCGGGAAGCGATTTGTTGATTCGGCTGAGATTATTCGTCCCGATCACGTTGTTCGTCCCGATGGAGTGATCCACGGAATCGAACGGTTATTGATTCCCCGTTCTGTGCAAGAGGATTTCAACCGGCGGAGGAATTTGCAGTCGATTTCCGCCGTTTTGCCTGAAGGTGCACCGGAAGTCGATCCACGTACTCATCGCTTGAAGAAGCCGGCGCCGCCTATCCCTGCTGGAGCGCCGCCTGTTTTAACAATCTACGATGCTTTAGCTCCTGGCCCTTCTCTCGCTCCTGCACCGGCCCCCGGCCCCGGTGGACATCACCACCATTTCGACGGAGAGCGGCAGGTGAAGGATTTCATCGAAACGCTGCTACATTACGGCGGCTATAACGAGATGGCTGACATTTTAGTGAATTTGACATCTCTAGCCACAGAGATGGGGAGATTAGTCTCCGAAGGGTATGTTCTAACCGTTCTCGCCCCGAACGACGAAGCAATGGCGAAGCTGACAGTCGATCAGCTGAGCGAACCAGGGGCGCCAGAGCAGATCATGTACTACCATGTGATACCGGAGTATCAAACGGAGGAAAGTATGTACAATGCAGTTCGGCGATTTGGGAAAGTTCGGTATCAAACGCTCCGGCTGCCACACGCGGTGGCAGCGCAGGAGGCAGACGGGTCGGTGAAATTCGGGCAAGGCGAAGGCTCTGCTTATCTGTTCGACCCTGATATATACACAGATGGTCGGATTTCTGTGCAGGGAATTGATGGAGTTCTGTTTCCATTGGAGGAAAAAGCTGAGAAGAAATCAAATTCAGCTATTAAAGTTGCCACTAAACCAAGAAGAGGTATATCTTCTTCTTCTTCCATTCACTTTTAATTTATGCATTTAGAGAAATAGAAATTGATTTAGAACGGATTACGTACGGTTTAATATTTTACGAGTTACCTCGACAACTAGTTGTAGGGTTAGGAGGTTGTCCGTTAAGGTACATGCAAATTGGCCCGATAACTTAGAGAGGGTAGAAAAGAACTATGGTAATAGACTAGGCTTTCTCTCACGGTTTTAAAAGGCATCTAGTAGTGAGATTTGTTCACACCCTCTCCAATGTGACATCTCACAATGATACAGACCTAGATACTAGGTGATAGCCCCCAATGGAGTGGATTGTGAAATTTCAAGTCGGTTGGAGAGGAGAATGAAACAGTGCTCGTGAATACATCTACCTAGTAGCCACATTTACAATATCTAATGGGTCAAAGTAGACAATATCTACCGGTTATGGACTTGAGTTAGATCTTGATCATTGTAGTCGAAATGGCGGAATATGGGTGAACCAATTCCGTTGTTCTCGATGGAGACGAGTTTACTGTTGTTCCGACTCAATCGCTTAAAACCCTAACATTTTTGTTCTTCTACCAATTGCAGGGAAGCTGATGGAACTTACATGTAGTATGCTTGGAGCCTTAGGGCAGGACTCTCATTTCTCTTCATGCCAATGACAAACAAACCTTTCAACTTTACACCCAAAACAAGAATAATCATTTACACCAGTGGTAAGTTTCAATTTAGTCCTTCATATTTTAAAAACTTAATTAAAAATACACTCAATTATTTAGCTATTTTTTAAAAAGAATATGTTCTAAAAGATAATAATAATAAATAAATAAATAGTTTTATACTAAAAAGGGTTTGACAATCTGTATTTGTGATGATGCAGATAAGAAATGGACTGGAAAGATGATTGGGGAGCAAGAAAATGTAGAAATTTTCTCGGGAAAACCCGCAGAGGATGATTTGAGTTTTATTTATTTATTTAGGAGTACCATGTAATTACATATATATATATTTTTTAATTTTTGGGTTAATATTTTTCTGTTCATTATTATTAATGTATGTTTATTCACTGCCAATGTTTGCATCGAAAATATTTTAGTGAACTTATGAAAATTCAAGAATAATTTTGAAACAAAGTAAATGAAAAATGACCAAACTAAGAGTACTTCAGAGTACTTGTGAGCCTTTAAAGGCAAAGGGCAAATAACATATGCCATTATAAATGCAATCAATTCATAAAGAGTATCTATATAGTGTGCATAAAATTGTACACAAAGTTCTAATATAATCTATATATCTATATATATTTATATCTAACAAGAACTTGATGAAAAAAAACAAATGGAGAGAACAAATACTTACGTTGCAAATTTATAATTTTGACGTAAAAAAGTTTTAAACATTCTATTCACAATACTTACCATGAAAATTTCAAACCTCTAAATCTGATGTCTTGGAAGTGAGAACTTTTGAGTGTTCTTAGCCTCCAACAGAAATTTCAGCTGCCATGATCTCTGGTGAGGCTGCGGTTGTTGGTTCCTCCTTGTTGGGAGGACCCAAGTCATTTGATTCAAGACGGTCAATGGGATGGACGTCCTGCTGTTTTGTCGTCTCTGCAACGACAGGATTCGAGTGCTGTCTTTCGGGTTTGTTGATCTTTGGCTTTGGCTTGATGGAAGCTCCTTCGGTATCATTTGGCTGGAGCTTGGTCTGAGGCTTCTTAGCTGGCTTCTTCAAACTAACATTTTCTTTATCGGATTTAGCCTGGAACGCCTTCGGTGAATTGCTCGGTTCACTGTTTTGGCCTGGACTGTGAACGGAGGTGCCCACTTCAGTAGCCAAGCTCTTATTTCTACCCAGTTTGGGAGATATTGGACGGGTGGTTGGTATCTATGCAAATCAACGTAAATATGGTTCATATAATCCAAATCACAGAAGAACAGAAGAACATGTGTTTATCAAACTGAATTCATACAGAATGCCACTGAAAAACAGTCCATTGTGTGTGGCCAGTCACAACAAAATCAAACTACGTCGGCATTTATCAATTAATTTGGATCCTTAAGTGCCCAGTCTGATAGTATCGACAAATAATTCACTAACCTTCTTTAGATCAGGCTTTGGAGGAGGTTCCTTGTAGAAATTTGGCATTGGTGTTGCTTTAAATGTCATACTCTTTCTCAGCTGCTTAATCTCTGCTTGCTGGCTTTCCTGCAAGGTATTCGAGGCAGAAAATGAGTCCAATCCTTGTAAAAGTTACAACAGGACAAGGTGGGGGGCAGTCCGGGGGAGGGGAGGGCGGCGAAGTGCAATCATGGTTCAATTGTGCTATCTGTAATACCTTAGATTTAGCCTGCATATTAGTTATCTCAACTTCCTTTGCCT